TACAATCTGAACTTTGGGGAATTTTTGAAGGTTTACGCTTAGCTTGGAGAAGAGGTTTTCGTCACTTAATTCTTCAAATTGACAGTTCCGATGCGTTTGAGATGATAACGGCTGCCTCTTACAATAGCTCAATCACTTTGGTTCGAGCTATTTTTTATTTGGATAACAGAGATTGACAAGTGGATTTTAGACTTATCTGCAGAGAAGCTAATATGATTGCTGATTCCCTGACGAAGATCGATGTTGGTTTCAACAGTGCTATTAGGTTTTTTGACGTTTGTCCCATGGCTGTTCATGAATTTCTAGCTCGCGATGTTGAGGGTCCTCCCTACATTCGCCATTGTAATTCTGTCTAAACTTGTCTTCTAGGCTCACTCATATTTGAAAAATATAATTTATTCATATCCGTTTAAAAGAAAAATACAAATGAAAATAGTAAAAATACTAGGTTAGATTCTATTGTTTGCAGCTTTATGAAATAAAGAAATTGTAATTTATTAATAATAATTAACTATGCTTAAATTAATGTAATTGAGTTTAAAATTATAAATGGATAATTAAATTTTATTTATGGCGGGAATCAATACTAGGATATCAAAGTTATATACAAATTTATTAATTTTCTCATTTACCCTTTAGCTTTCTCTGTTTTTTTAATTTAACCTCTTAAGAGTTCACATGCAACGCATCACTCTTCCAAAAGTCAGAAAACCAAACCCAAAGAAAACAAATTGCAATGCTTTTCAAATTCTTTCTTCCACCGCCTCACCTGCAACAACCCGAATCCAAAGCGCCCATGTGAACCACAAATATTAAGTTAAATTCAAACTCAATTAATTTTAATTATCGATGAATGAATTCAATTAAAATTTAATTTTTAAAATCAAATATAAATTTATTATTATTTGAACTCGACTTGATTCAATTATTTTCGATCTAAAAAATAAGTATTTATATCACATGCCACATTTCAAATGCTTAATGTTCATCTAAGTATTAAGCACCCCACCAGCGGGCTGATTGACCTAACTGACCTGTTTTTTTTAAATTCTTCCGTTCTAACACCCGTTGATCAATATTTCCCGAAGTAGCATCCTTTCGGTTGAAGTGACACAAAGGCGCATCCCTGAAGACGCGCTTTACCTGAGTTTATACCGAGTCGGATGCCACGTGTGAAAGGCGCATCCCCGAGGATGCGCTTTATATGAGTTCTGCTGAATCAGATACCACGCTGATATTTCTTTTAATAATAAAGATTTTATTTTTATTATTATTATAAATAATTAATATATTATGTAAAGTGTTTCGATTATAATTTAAGAATTATCGAATGTATTTTTTAAATGTGTGTTAAAGATGGAGCGAGTTAAAGATGGAGCGAATTTAGGTTTTAGTGTTATATGTTTTAGGGACTTTGACATTCACCCATTCCACGCGACATTAATCGGATAGAATAATAGATGAAAACAAGCTTTGATCTTATTGTAGTTATAGGAAAATGTATGAAATTATAATATTACACGTATTGTTATATATCTATTATTATTTTTTGATTATCGATCTATTAATTTTATCACTTAATTATTTAAATGTTATCAATCTAGTAGTTTTTTTATCAATATTTAAAGAAAATATTGATGCATTAGTTAATAAAATTAGTATAATTACACATTTAATCTTCAATACTTACATATTTTATCAATTTAGTCTTACTTTTAATTTGTTTAATTTAATATTTTTCTCTACTTAGAAGGTGAAATTATTATAATATTTTAAAATTAATAATTAATTTTTTATAATAAATAATATTAATTATTATATTAAATAAATATCATAAAATAATTTTTAAATAAAAAATTTAAAAAAAATATTTAGGTGTACATACATTGAGAAATTATAGAAAATGCAATTACATTTAAATATTAGAAACAAACACATTCATTTAAATAGAATATTAATTAAATAAGGCTTAACGGTTATGTGATGATAACAGAGCTGGACATTTTTTTCTATTGTGCCCGATGTTTCTACAATGCCCACATCGTTTTTGTTTTGTTGACTTCTCCCGAATATCCATATCACAATGTATTCTAGTAGATTTTGGACGACCTGAGTCTCTCAAAAGCAATGGATCTGGTACAATTGTAAGCCAAGTTTGAATCTCATCTGGGTCTCTTTCGTTTCCTATGGGCGGAAACTCAAATTCATATACCTTGAATACTCGTGAAAGTTGGTATAAGGGATCAACATAATTTTTGTAGTCCAAATGTGAATGTGAGCAAGCTGAAATGTCATGAGAGTATGTATATTTGAGTGCTTGAAAGAAACCACAATCGCACCACATCTCTTGCAGATTAACTTTGAAAGAGTTAGCTTCAATCCCTTGCAGCGGACGTTATATTTCGGTTACACGAAACAATTCACGGGTACGAGAAAAAATTGTAACCAACATCCCATTTGATGCAACCATTTTTTCCCTATAAATCAGCTACTAGTCGTGGGTGGTAAATATGATCGTTTTGCATCCAAGTAAGAGCTTGTCCACCGAGCTTTGCAAAGAGTTGACCCAAACGAAAATAAGTCGTTTTGAGCAACGCCGTGACTGGTAAATGACGCGCCCCATTTAAGGTTGAATTTATTGATTCAGCCAAGTTGGTTGTCATATGACCATAGCGATACCCCCGTCATACGCATTTGTCCATATTTCTTTGTTGATGTCCATAATGTACTCGCACCCCTTCTTATTTTTTCCAAAGAGCTCTAGTATCATAGACTCAAACCTTTGAGGTAAGAGTTCGTAACCTAAGCCATTAGGAATATGTAATAGTTAATATGAAATATAAATAAGTAATACGAAAATGATAGAAAAATTCGGAAAAAGTAACATACCCATTCGCACGACTAACTGACGTTCATCATTCTTCTTGTATTTTTTGTAATAGTTTGCAGCAATATGACGGACACAATAACGATGTTAAACATGTGGAGGTCTATACATTGTACCTAAAGACTCCATTTCTGCTTTTATCCCGGCTCCTCGGTCTGAAATAATGCATACTCGTTCCCTGGTGACAACATGTAAACGTAAATTTTTAAGGAAAAAAGCCCAGGACTTAGTGTCTTCTCCTTGAACGAGGGCAAACGCAACAGGAAGAATATTGCGGTTTCCATCTTGGACCACAACCAATAATAAAACTTGATTGTATTTCCCATACAAGAAAGTACCATCAATTTGGACAATTGGTTTACAGTACTTGATTGCATTAATACACCGAGGGTAAGTCCAAAAGACACGGTATAATTGGCTGCGATCGTGAACCACTCGATCATTCACGTAATGATGTTAAGTTTCGAACTCAACAATTGTCCCAGGATTGAGTCTTTGCACAACATGAAACCAACTGGGCAACTCGTTGTAAGAGGAATCACATTCTCCATGAAGTTTGCAAATGACATTCTGTTTTGTCAACCAAGCTTTTTTATAGGAGACAGTGTACCCATATTGTGACTGTATAGCAGAAATCAACACTGCAACAGCTATATGAGAGCTTTGCTTCACAATGGGCATGATTGCTTGTCAAATAATGTTGGAGTCCAAGTTGGGATGATCTTGGTTTATACCTCTTGCACAACACGTATGAGGACCGTTGTATCTGGTTAGTTCCCATAAGTTGTTATTCCTCTTCATCTTTGATACACGAGCCATCCATTGACATATGTTTTCACGTTGAACGCAGTAGCACACACATTTCTCTGTGGTAGATCGATCAACTCGGGACTGAACTGAGTTACGAATCACCATCGACGGGAAGCTCCAAAATACTCCAAGATATTTCTCTGTGGTTCGGCTATTCTACCTTCATTAAACTCTGACAGAGTAGCTCCAAGATACTCCATGCACATTGACTGCCAATCACCATTCGCCATACCACACATAATATTCCCATCGACGGGAAGCCCTAGATGCATAGAGACATCCTCCAATGTAATTGTAGCCTCTCCACATGGAAGATGGAATGTGTGTGTCTTGGGCCTCCACCTCTCAATCAATGCAGAAATTAGGACAGGTTTGAGTTTGCAACCGCCAATAATTGTTGCAATATACCCGAACCCAGCAAAAGACAAATAAGGCAAAATACGTTACGGTGTTGGTATACGTGGGTTTTTAATAAAATTTTCTAAAATACGACCATTTTTCTAAATAATATGCATTATAAAAATTTATAATTAATATAAATTCATTATAAATTTAAATAAAAAATAATAAATATTAAAATTAATTATAAAAAAATATTACCATATCACTAAAATGTCTGGAGATATGGTTTGCATCCAATCGTAACAGCATTTCACTTTCCATTATAACTGTAGACAAAAAAATATAATTAGTACAAAAAATAATTAATTAATAAATTTAAATAAATAATAATTATATAAATATTATTTTAATAAAAAAATAATATTTATATAATTATATTACTATAAAATATAAAAACTATTTAAAAAACTAACTTAAAAAATAAATTTCTTACCACTAATAAGAAATTTAAAACTCAAATAGGTGGAAAATTTGAGTTATATAAGAGAGGAGAATATGATTTTGGTGTGAAGAATAAGAGGGGGTTGAGGGGTTTATATAAGGTAGGAGGAGGGGTAGTTGTGGGAAAACGGATGGGGACATTTATAATATTTAATGGATCCCCATGAATGCGCCTTTCTCACGTAGCGTCCGATCCAACATAATTTCGTGAAAGCGCATCCCTGAGGATGCGCCTTTCACACGTAGCATCCGAGTCAACATAAATTAGGTAAAACGCGTCTCTGGAGATACGCCTTTATGTCACCTCAATTAAAAAGGTACTATATCAAAAAATATTGATCAACGGATATTAAAACGAGAGAATTTTAAAAAAACGATTGAATTAGGTCAAATCGCCCCACCAGCGGCACTATATTTTATTATTCTTTACGGACCGCACTAGAATAGTGTGCCACTGCTATATCATTCACCGCCTCCCCTTTTAAAAGTCTCTTTAACATTCACTATACAGGCATAGCAAAAGGGTTGTTTTGGTACTTCCAAAATGAAGCTTCGCATGGCGGTGGCATTGCTTTGTGCAACATCTGCTGCTTTTTTTGCCATTGCCGGTGCCGACTCTCCCTACAAATTCTTCGACTGGAATGTTACTTTCGGTGACATTTATCCCCTTGGAGTTCGTCAAACGGTATTCCTTTTTTCATTCATTCATCCCTTCCGTTTTTCCATTTTCATCCATGTGCAGCCTCTCTTTTTTTCTCCAGGGTATTCTCATCAATGGCCAGTTCCCAGGCCCTGATGTTCACTCGGTTACCAATGACAATCTCATTATCAACGTTCACAACAGTTTAAACGATCATTTCCTCATTTCCTGGTAAGATCCTAACTCCCAACACTCCACGTTCCATCCACACAGATTTAGTGACATTCTGACACACATCTTAGTGGGTTCAACTTAGATTTGTAGTTAAAAAGAATGTCTTGTCGTTGCCATTCTTGTCCTTCTTTCGAGATGAGACATCCCGTGACCCCATTCATTTCGTTTCTTAACTGTTTTCCTGCAAAATGAAGACATCCCATTGAAGTTGCAGATAAACCCATCATCATCCATCCATGATCTTAGTGGTCCACTTTGTAATTAGCTGTAGTGGATTAGGTATTTCTCGATAGAAATCTGGACCCATACCAGGAAAAAAAGAAAAGAATACTAATTAAGCATCTAAAACACTTTTATATTTAGTTAATCTTGTTATTTGTAACTTACATGGAAATGAAATGGTAAATGTAGGAGTGGAATCCAAAATAGGAGGAATTCATATGAAGATGGTGTTTAGGCCATCTCCAGCCTCATCTCTATTCTAGAGATATCTATCTCTACTCTAGAGATGAAACAATAATTCATCTCCAGCACTACCTCTACATTATCATCAACTCTACTTTATTCACAATATTTAACTATTATAATATTAATTTTACAAATTTAAAAAAATCAGAAAAAATTTAAAAAATCAGAAAAATTACAAAAAAAAATTAGTATGATTATTTATCTAATTTCAATGTATTTTTATCTATCTTATAATTTAATTAACGTTGCTACAGTAGCACGCTATATGTAGCGTTTTTGTTTCATGAAACTCCAAAGTGAAGTTGAGTTTGGCGTAGCGCTGGAGCACGCCACAGTAGAGCAGCGTTGGATATGCTCTTATGGAACAACTTGTCCTATTCCACCAGGAAAGAACTTCACATACATTCTTCAGGTCAAGGATCAAATAGGAAGCTTCTTTTATTTCCCTTCTCTTGCATTCCACAAGGCTGCTGGCGGTTTCGGAGGGATCAGGATCCTTAGCCGACCTCGGATTCCGGTTCCCTACCCAGAACCCGACGGGGATTACACTGTTCTTATTGGAGATTGGTTCAAGTCCAATCACACGGTAAATGATGATTTTCAAAGCCTTGGTGTATTTTCATTTAATGTGATATGATTTAGTGTGGTTAATAATAACATATATGTCCATGCAGAATTTGAAAGCTCGTCTCGATCGTGGTAAGAAGTTGCCTTTCCCTGATGGAATCCTTATAAACGGCCGAGGACCTGGTGGTGCCTCCTTCAACGTCGAACAAGATATATTAATCTGAAATGTGGTCCTTCTAAATCTCATGATGTTTAAGTTTAAACCAAGTTAATAATGTTCTGCGCCATTTTATTCCAGGGAAAACCTACAGACTTCGGATATCGAATGTTGGATTGCAGAATTCACTCAATTTCCGCATCCAAAACCACAGGTTGAAGTTGGTAGAAGTAGAGGGGACACACACTTTGCAAACTACCTACTCTTCAATAGACCTTCACCTCGGCCAATCATGTTCGGTTTTATTTACAGCTGATCAACCTGCAAAAGACTATTACATTGCATTCTCCACTCGCTTTACCAGCCGGGTCCTCACCTCAACAGCGATTCTCCGATATAGCAACTCCGCCGGCCCTGTATCTGGTCCTCCTGGTGGACCAACCATCCAAATCGACTGGTCTTTGAACCAGGCTCGCTCTATCAGGTTTTTTTTCCCGAGTATCGACCAGCACATGACTAGATGTAAACGTTATTGTAATTGTGTTATATGCTGCATGTTTTTGTTTCAGGAAAAACCTTACAGCAAGTGGACCAAGGCCTAACCCACAGGGCTCATATCACTATGGTCTCATTAACACAACAAGAACCATCATTCTTTCGAATTCTGCCGGGCAAGTTAACGGCAAGCAAAGATACGCTGTTAACAGTGTTTCATTTGTTCCAGCTGACACACCGCTGAAACTTGCCGATTATTTCAAAATCGGAGGAGTTTATCGTGTTGGAAGCATATCGGATAAGCCTCATGGAGGAAAGATATACCTTGATACTTCAGTAATGCAGGCCGACTACAGGGCTTTCATCGAGATAGTGTTTCAGAATAATGAGAACATTGTACAGAGTTGGCATCTCGATGGCTACAATTTCTTTGTGGTTGGGTAAGCACAATCATTTCTCACCTCAATAACCCGAAAGACTCGTGCTTTGAATCTTGCTCTGATAATATTGGTTTCTGAATTATTCTGAATTGTTGCAGCATGGATGGAGGGCAATGGACAGCAGCTAGTAGGAGGGGATACAATCTCCGCGACGCTGTTTCACGATGTACGACTCAGGTAAAATCCGACAAGCTCATCTTAAAACTCCATTATTTCTGAAGAAGGAGATTGTGACATTGGATTTATGGTGAATGCAGGTGTATCCCAAGTCATGGACTGCCGTTTATGTGGCACTTGACAACGTGGGAATGTGGAACTTAAGGTCGGAGTTTTGGGCAAGACAGTATCTGGGACAACAGTTTTATTTACGTGTATACACTACATCGACTTCGTTAAGGGATGGATACCTGATCCCGAAGAATGCACTGCTCTGCGGTAGGGCTCGCGGCCGACGCACGCGGCCTTTCTAAGTGGAGCATAGAATAAAATATCCAGATTTGGGTAGAGAAAGCTCCCCAGCTCTTGAATTGCTGAGTTTTAGGGTTTAAAATCTTTAATTATCAATGGATGAACTGTATGATTGTAACTTTAAATGAATAGACCTCAGCTCGAGGTCACATTTTTTTCTTTTCAACCATTAATTCTTACAATCATAAATCGTATTTTTATTATGCCACCATTTTTGTATATATCAGTTTGCATTTGATGTATTTGTTAGTTTTACCAACCTCAATCTGTGCTGCCACTCGTCAGTTTAAAAAGAAATCAAACTAAAAGCATACCATTTTCTGTGTTGGGAGTCCAGCTCCATGTCTCCAGACACACTGGCGGATGTAGGTAGAGTCTAGGCTTGGCCGGTGTCTTCCTTGAAATTCAAATTTTTTTAATATTAATTGTCTATTTTAGGGATAGTTTTATCTGTATTTATTCTATATAAAAAAATTTGCTATTAAAGTATATATGTCCCCCTTTAAAATATTTCTGGATCCGTAGACATTTTGGGCCTGAAGACCAATGTTTTGGTAATAGAAGTAGTCTTCCCTCGGTTGAAAGGGACCAGTGTAAAGGAAACGGTTTACTAGGTTAAAAGTTGGCTCAACAAGACTGTAGTTTTCATCGAATCTTTTGAGTGCTCTGCCATTTTTGCTCCAATGTGTCGTCATTCTGTAATCTATAATCCCATATTATCTTTTAGATTTGATTCCCAGTTAGGCGAAGAATCGCGTCAGGTCCTAGAAGTGGAGATTCGAAGTACTTGTTTAAGAGAATATATAAAGTTACTCTTCTTTTTCTTAAGAAGGGAAAAGCGAGAATATCTTTGCTCAAAGAACATAATATAAACTATTCTCCTACGCCAATCCATCGCTCAACTTTGAGAGCTTTTCAACCATGTTATCGCAATTCTACTATCTTTGTATTCATGTTTAAATATATTTATAAAATACATAAACATCACATGACATACAAGAACATAAACCATCATCAGTTGTGTGTGTATGAGAAGCACTTTGTTCGTTAATTTGATGCATGTTTCTTTACAAGTACATGGTATATAATTTTAACTACACATATCTCTGTAACATATAAGGAGCCTCTATCTCTAGGATAACTTAAATATACGAGTTACTCCATCCAAGATGCGCCTAACGCCTTAGCCATGAAGCTGTACCGGTCCGCAGCCTCATCGATCTGCACCAAAAACCGCCATAAGTTCAAATAGTCCAGGGTGTGGTAGTGGCAAAAAGATTATAACTTGATGAAGCTAACAAAAAGAATTCTGATTACCAGTTTTTGTGTCGGACGTCCACATCCATGGCCGGCCTTACACTCGATGCGTCCGATGATCGGGTTAGTCTGCAGGCTGTTCTCCAAGCTTGTACAAAGAACGTATTGCATTGTCTGAAAAAGAACAGAGAAACTGAGTCAATGCTACCGGTTCAAGGTGGATCAAACAAGTAGAGTCGAGAAGGAACTTACAGCCAACATCTTCAATGAATGCAAGGGAACAACACGATCATCGTGATCTGCGGTCAATAGCATGGTGGATGGATATTGTGACAGTCCACCAGGATGTTTCTCCCATGGTCTCCTTACATTATGTAATGGTGAGTACCTTGTAAAAATCAAGTAAACCCAACAGTTAGTCCAATTTCGAAAACCTTGTCTGAAGTTCAACTCCTCTGTCATCAGATACCATAGTAATGTAAACTTTGACTTACTTGATAAGCCAGTGAAAATCTTCTTCCTTTTCGGAACAACCGAAATCACAGGTCCAAGCATGGCCTATGGTGAACTTGTGAAACCTCAGCATGTCCATCACACCAACATGAGCCAAAGCACAACCAAAAAGCTCGGGTCTCTGCCAATGGAAAACGACTTAATATTCTGAACATTTTATTAAGAAAAACAATAAATGAAAAGAAGGAAACCTGATTAATGCAAGCTCCAACTAGAAGCCCACCATTGCTTCCTCCTTCAATACATAGCTTTTCAGGCCGAGTATATCCAGAAGATATTAGATACTCAGCTGCAGAAATGAAGTCGTCAAAGCAAGTTTGCTTCTTGGATAATGCACCAGCCTTGTGCCATTCCTCACCATATTCTCCACCACCGCGAATATTTGCGATGCAGAAAAAGGCACCGAGGTGCCTGGCGAGCACGATACGACTAACACTAAACGCTGGTGTCAGACTGACATTGAATCCACCATATCCGTACAACAAACAAGGGTGTGATCCATCCAGTTTTTTGTCCTTCCTGCCAACAATGAACATTGGGATCTTGGTGCCATCTTTACTTGGCACAAAAACCTGATTGACTTCAAACTCCGAGCGATCAAATCCGGGTACACTGATGTCACGAAATATCTTCATCTCTGGAAACTTGTTTCCCAAGTCACATTGATATATGATACCAGGAGTAAGAAAGCTCGTAAAACCAATGAAAACGACACTATCTTCGCGACGAGCTGAAATCCCATATACAGTCCCTATGTCAATGGGCAAATTATGCAGGGTGGAACCTGTTTCCAAATCCCTTACTTGGAGAACATACTTGACATCACTCAAATAGCTCACAATCATCTGATTTCCATTCACAACACATGCTGACTCAAGCACATCTTTTTCATTCTCCGGTATAACATCAGTCCATTTACTCGGTTTCTTCAGATCGACTCGGACTAATTTATATTTCGGAGCATCTTTGTTTGTCAAGAAAGTAAACAATGAATCGTCATTGGCAACGTTAAAATACTGTGCATCGAACTCGTCTATTAACTTAACAAACGGGAGAGGGCCATTTCTTTCCCTGACACCTTCAAGACCTCTGGGAAGCGCAGACATGTTGCAGAGATACAGTTTATTGACGGGGCCACAACCCTCTTCAATGTAAAGAATAAGATACTGCACCATAGCAACCAAAAATAACTTACATACATACATACATACATGCATACATACATACATACATACATACATACATACATCAACTTACCTTCCCATCATCTGTCACTTTTCCACTAAACATGTGCTTAGGATTCTGAGGATCTTTCCAGCATAAAATGTCTTCAGATTGATTTGTGCCAAGGAAATGATAGTATAACTCGTGGTTAACGTTAACACTAGTCTCTATCCCAGAATCAAGATTCTCACCATCTCTGCACGACAAAGATATTATTTTGTACTTGAATATGTGTTATTTCCCAGAAAACAGAGCAAAAAATTGCAGCAAGTAGAGTTTATTTACTTGGGCATTGGGTATCGGCTGTAGAAAAACCCTTTGCTGTCATGTGTCCAGCTGATATCAGAAAACTTTATCTGTATCATAAAGAGAAGATTATTTACTGTGAGTCTTCATGTTAAAGATAAATAGATTCTGCACCATTAAAACGCAAGAAACCCAGAACTCGGTAACTCACCCATGATAAAGTATCGGGCTCCTCTGTTTTATACTCGACTCGCATTACTTTAATGGTCACCCAGTCACTTCCACTCGAACTAAGCCCGTAAGCCAAGTATTTGGCGTCCTGGCTTACAGAAAACGCCTTTAACGACACCGTTCCGTCGTCGCTAAGGGTGTTGGGGTCAAGCAAAACCTCTGGTTCTTCCTCTAAACCAGCCTGCACGTAAAGGATGTTTTGTGCTTGGAGGCCGGTGTTATGTAAGAAAAAATACTTATTCCCCCGCTTAAACGGCACGGTGTAGCGTGGATGATCGAAGAGTCCCGTGATTTTGTTGCCGAGTTTTCCCCTCGTGTCGCATTTTTCAAGCACCGATTCCGCCAGAGCAGCCTGCTTCTTCACAAACCCCTTTACTTCATCAGCATCAGAATCTTCAAGCCTTTTTGCATGCAATCATTAACAACTTCAGCCAACAAACAAACAAAAACCAAAAGAAAAACGAAAACTTGTTTTTTAATGCCAATTTTAATCTCGCTTACCATCGATAAGAATCAGCTATCTTGACGCCATGATAATCATCGACCACCGACTCATCCCTACGAGCTTTTGGGTACTTCAAAAGGCCAAAGGGTTCGTCTAAGTAGCCGAGAGAACCCATGAATGCAGAGCTTGAACCTGATGGTTGGAAAACTGAGTTGGTTTGGGTTGACTCGTTTTCGGCCACAGGCGATATTTATATGACATGTAGGGAGCTTAAAGCGGGATGTGTAATAGATGAAGACATCGTATAGCCATTTATTGCATGATGTGGTCAGCACTAATCCGTATTTAGGGGCTTACAGGCTCAAAAGTGTCGCCATCGTGGCCCTAAAATGTTGTCATGTTCTTGGAAATTGGAATCTTCACCTGTCCCGTAGCTAATATTCCAAGGAAGGAAAAATTATTATTTTATTTATGAAAAATTAATTAATTGACTGTTAATTTTACCATTTACAAAATTCACATAACTTTTAAATCAGGTCCTAAATTTATCAAATACAATCTTTATTTATTTTTTTGGACTCCTGTCCTTCTAAGTCACTGTCAACTTGGAATCGAATTTGTTTGTTTGTCTTTTTCAGGTTAAAGTATTTGTTAATTCCTTTTATTATTGGGATTGATTCGATTTAATCCTTCTACTTTTAAATAAATTAATTTAGTCTTATTTTAGAGATGGATGCAAATTAACCTTCTAATAAGGGATTAATTCAAATCAATCTTTATAGTAAAGGGATTAAATCGATATTAGCCTTACAAAAGAGAGATAAGGCATGCATTTTGAGCTCTGATTTTGAAGTCGCTTATTTTTGTTGATGAGGAAGTCAATCATGTGTATGTATATATACTTAAAATTTGTATAATAATAAACTTAAGGGTAAGCTACACTATAGACCACTAAACTATGGTAAAAAATCAATGTGACCACTGAACTTTCAATTGAATCAATCAGATCACCGGCTATTAATTTTTAACAGAGGTGGTTACGTGTCTGTTAAGCTTAATTGGCATAATTATATATTTGGTCTTTCATATTTACATATTCTATCAATTTAGTCACTATTTTAATTCAAGTAAATAAGTTTAACTATCTAATTA